CAACCAATACACTAGATTCAGCTAAGACAAACATTACGTGTCAGTTACTAGCCAATACACTAGATTCAGCGTAGACAACCATTACCTCTCAGTTACCAACCAATGCACTTGATTCAGCTAATGAAAACCATTACCTGTCAGTTACCAACCAATACACTAGATTCAACTAAGACAGCCATTACCTGTCAGTTACCAACCAATGCACTAGATTCAGCGACGACAATCATTACCTGTCAGTTACTAGCCAATACACTAGATTCAACTAAGACAGTCATTACATCTCAGTTACCAACCAATACACTAGATTCAGCTAGGACAACCATTACCTGTCAGTTACCAACCAATACACTAGATTCAACTAAGACAACCATTACCTGTCAGTTACCAACCAATACACTAGATTCAGCTAATGAAAACCATTACCTGTCAGTTACCAACCAATACACTAGATTCAACTAAGACAGCCATTACCTATCAGTTACCAACCAATACACTAGATTCAACTAAGACAGCCATTACCTGTCAGTTACCAACCAATACACTAGATTCAGCTAGGACAACCATTACCTGTCATTTACCAACCAATACACTAGATTCAACTAAGACAGCCATTACCTATCAGTTACCAACCAATACACTAGATTCAACTAAGACAGCCATTACCTGTCAGTTACCAACCAATACACTAGATTCAGCTAGGACAACCATTACCTGTCAGTTACCAACCAATACACTAGATTCCGCGACGACAACCATTACCTGTCAGTTACTAGCCAATACACTAGATTCAACTAAGACAGTCATTACCTCTCAGTTACCAACCAATACACTAGATTCAACTAAGACAGTCATTACCTCTCAGTTACCAACCAATACACTAGATTCAGCTAGGACAACCATTGCCTGTCAGTTACTAGCCAATACACAAGATTCAGCGTAGACAAACATTACCTGTCAGTTACCAACCAATACACTAGATTCAGCTAGGACAACAATTACCTGTCAGTTACTAGCCAATAAACTAGATTCAGCTAAGATAACCATTACCTGTCAGTTACCAACCAATGCACTAGATTCAGCGACGACAACCATTACCTGTCAGTTACCAACCAATACACTAGATTCCGCGACGACAACCATTACCTGTCAGTTACTAGCCAATACACTAGATTCAACTAAGACAGTCATTACCTCTCAGTTACCAACCAATACACTAGATTCAACTAAGACAGTCATTACCTCTCAGTTACCAACCAATACACTAGATTCAGCTAGGACAACCATTGCCTGTCAGTTACTAGCCAATACACTAGATTCAACTAAGACAGCCATTACCTATCAGTTACCAACCAATACACTAGATTCAACTAAGACAGCCATTACCTGTCAGTTACCAACCAATACACTAGATTCAGCTAAGACAACCATTATCTCTCAGTTACCAACCAAAACGCTAGATTCAGCTAAGAAAACCATTACCTGTCAGTTACCAACCAATACACTAGATTCAGCTAAGATAACCATTACCTGTCAGTTACCAACCAATGCACTAGATTCAGCGACGACAACCATTACCTGTCAGTTACCAACCAATACACTAGATTCAGCGATGACAACCATTATCTGTCAGTTACCAACCAATACATTAGATTCAGCGACGACAACCATTATCTGTCAGTTACTAGCCAATACACTAGATTCAAGTAAGACAGTCATTACATCTCAGTTACCAACCAATACACTAGATTCGGCTAGGACAACCATTACCTGTCAGTTACTAGCCAATACACTAGATTCAACTAAGACAGCCATTACCTCTCAGTTACCAACCAATACACTAGATTCAGCTAAGACAATCATTACCAGTCAGTTACCAACCAATGCACTAGATTCAGCTAAGACAGCCATTACCACCCAGTTACCAACCAATACGCTAGATTCAGTTAAGAAAATCATTACCTGTCAGTTACCAACCTATACACTAAATTCAGCTAAGACAACCATTACCTCTCAGTTACTAAGTTACTAACCAATACACTAGATTCAGCTAAGACAACCATTACCTCTCAGTAACCAACAAATACACTAGATTCAGCAAAGATAGCCATTACATGCTAACG